CTAAGTTTAATAAAGAAGAACACAAATCAGTCGGCGAAAATTTAAAATTTATCATTAAAATAACATTAAACAAATTACATTTATTTTTTCTCTGTTAACTTATGAGAAGGCACAAAAGATGAAATATGTTACATCGCAACATTACGTATCCAAAGTTATAGAAAATCAAATGGTGTAATAAAATTAGTCTCATTCAATCACTTCGAGGCCGTAAAACCGTTTATCTAAAAAAAAACCTTGTGAGGGAATAATTATTTCAGAATATCTAAGAAGTTTCTAACTATTTAGATACTCTATAAATCTTAGAAATAATATTTTTCCTTCATAATAATTGTCTACAACAGTTAACAAAATTAAAATAAATACAGTTTAAATTCTTTAAATATATTCTAATTCTCCTACTTAATAAATCATTAAGAACATTTAGTATACAAACAAGATAAATATTTATGGCTTATGTGTAATTGGGATCCCACACTTCTGCGTCTACAGCACTTGAATTTTTAGCTCTAGCCGTGGTATAAATTCTTAAATACGTTAGAAGTATATTTAAATGTCTGAAACCAAAAATTTTTGCAATAGTTTGTTTTAAAAAGGACTTTTTGCCAAAATTTTAAATTTCTACGCAAAAAAGATTTTCTCAAAAACCACTATTTCAACGAAAAACTTGCCTATATGTAAATATATGTATACATATATATTCCTCTCATTATTAAAAAAAAATTGTTGTAAAAAAACTGTGAGAAGATTTTTTCAAGTTCGGGGAACCTGTGTTTACGCAAAGATAACACCCAGTATTGGAGAATAAATTAGTAGAAAGAGTACGTTTATTTTTTGGGAAACATACTAAAATAGTTCAGATATTAAATTGTTATATAAGAAAAAAAAAGCTATCTTAAGGTGCAAAATATACATTTATTGTGTGATGTATGATGCATTTCGTATTTCATAAAGATAACTAATTTGAATTTCCTAGAAATATGCTAGAAGAGAACTAAATAATTGCATAATTCTAAATGTATAAAATCAAGACACATTAAGACTCTTAAGTTAACAATTCTGGTGACTTTATGCATTTTCTAGAAACACTTATGCTTTATTATTCAAAGCAAAAAAGAATATTTCAGCTGATGTTTTGTAATGATGATTCGATTACCCAGTTCTGGGTGCGCCCAGTGTAATGATTATACCATGCACGCTACAAAATTTGCTTCATACATATTGCGTACCACACACAGTCACAATCACATGTTAATTGATGGTTTTCCTTTTTCTTAATTGGTTGATTCCTCTAAAGATTAATGGATTTACAGATATGCATAGCATAGTATGCAAATAAAAAGTTATCAGAATAGTGAGAAATTTGTTGCACATAGCATTTATTGCATACATGATGCTGAAAACACTCGAAATCTAATTATGTACTTTTATATAATTTAAAATATTCACAAAAAGTTTTTTCCATAATAAAGTTTATTCTTGATTGTCTCTATTTAACTTTAAAATTATTAAACCTAAACGTTTAAGGCTTATTACTAGTGTATTTAGTTAAATGTTCTTTCATGATACTTCTCACCTCATTAGACTTTTCTTTTTTAATTTTCAATTACTTTACAAGAAAAGGTTTCTCCTCTATTAGGAATAAACTTTATAATAGATAAATGAAATTGATAAAAGGGAGCAGAATGACAATGTTGACATACGGTTTAGAATTCCTTTGCCTTTGGGCTGACCGGGGGAGATTTTCCCCTCCATGTAACGCAAATTGCGGTCAGTTCACCAAAAAGTCCTCCACTTAGGCTAGCTTATCCCAGATGAATAGGTTCCCTTGTCTTCTGGATTGTATTTGAAATTAAAAGGCTACAGAGTTAAATAATGATAGTCGTAAACTCAAAATTTTGTTGCCTGTTCAACGATGGTTATAAAATAAAATAAGATAAATTGTAGTCAGAAATTTAAAAGTCAATTCTTTTATTTTTTTAAATTTGTTTTTATTATTAATCTTTTGAAAGCCAGAAATTTCACAACTGTATTATGGCAATTTTCATGAATAAAATTTTTTTTTTGTAATCCATTTAGTTTTCAATAGATTTCAAATGTTGCCTCTTGATTTTATTAAAAAAAATATTAATCAGAGCAGGGTAAATAACATTTATGATTTATAAATGACATCGATAAATATTTTTCAGATATTTGAATTTTGATGAATCATAGGGAAGAACAAAACCAAAACTCATAATTATATTAAGACAATTTGGGTGAATATTAAGACATTTTGGTTTTTACTGGTGGAACTGTTGATATATATATATATATATAGGGCGGAAGAGGTTTTGGAAAATGATATCCGATATCGAAAGGAACGGGAAATAGTTTTAAAATCGATATCAACATTTATAATCTTATCATTTTAACATTGGTAAAAATTTTAAGAATAGATGAGAAGGAAGAAAAAACATTAAGTGATTTAAGTAAAAAAAAAATTTACTTTATGTTTTATTACATGCGGATTATGAAAATGCTGAAATTAATTTTTGTTTACCAATTTGTTGAATGACTTGATGAAAACAATTTAAAAAGAAAGAGTAATTAAAAGTGAGGTGTTGATAACTATGTGTCTTAAGGAGTTTGATATCTTTTGGCAGTGAGCAAGGTAGGGAGTTTGAAAATCAATAGAAATTTTCCTTTGTAATCATACATCTTTTACTTAACAAAAACGTTATATCTAAACAATTCTTAAAAATATGAATCTAAAATCTACATTTTAAATTTAAATGTGTATAAACAATGGAGACACTATAATTCATTTATATATAACAATGTATGTAGGAAATTAAGATGAAAACTATAAAAAACTGGAATAATTAAGAGTGTATTTTAGTAGTGGCTGATAATATTATTACTTAATCGAATATAATTAAGGAAATGAAATTATTTGATACCAGCAGAGAAAGGGAAAATATCAATTTTAGTCGGCAATTTTAAATTTTTAGACGCATGTTAAACTTTAAAAATAAATAAAAAACATTAGCATTTGATATCTGGCTAAAATTTATTGATATATATGAATAATAAAACCCTGAAATATATTTTCCTTTTATAACTTATAAACAAATTTTAAGATTCTTTCATATAAACAAATTATAAAACGTAAGTGATTGGAATAAGGAAGAAACTATGTAAATGAAATAGTTTGATATCCGTAAGAGAAAGCGGGGTTTAAAATTACCCGACATATTTGCAATGGAAAAGAAGGGATGGAGTAAATTTTTCAAATTGATTTTTGATTTGATCTGGTATTCTTGTAGCTTGTATAATCATTTTAGAAACGTGCAATATTTGTAGACATGCTATGGAGCTATACTAGCTTCTAAACACATTAGACAACATACAAGAGTATTTACCATTATTCCCTTGACTCAGAATTTTTATTAAACTTATTTTTCATTATTTCGTATTAATATAAGTGAAAAATATTATGTTTAGGGTTTTAATAATTTATGGTTATGAAATACAGCATGAAGCACCGGTGTCGTTTTCTGCATTAAAGATAAAATCTTCCGAACAATGATTTTTCAAACTGGCATTTATTGCAGTTATTTAGATTTCAGAGAAAAAATTATTCATCATTGAAATCTACAAAATCAATTATTGATAAATTTATGAATATGAATGAAACAACAATTTCAAGATACTTTTTTTGAATTTTATACTTTAGTGCAAATTTAATTCCAATAATCTAATAAATTTTTCTTGTAACTATTAGACTGTTTTTTGCAAGCAAAAAATACCAAATTATATTTTTACTTGTAATTAGCATATAAATAGAAATATATATAAAAAAGACACCAGTTCCCATCTGCATCAAAGGGTTAAAACGAGATATAATATTAAAACAAAGTATAATATTGAAACATATAATAACATTTCTAATGATTTTTCTCAAAAACGTGAAAACACCGGTTATCTAAAATACATTAAAAGCTCATAAGTAAATAAAAGCTTTTTATCTAATTGGTTTCATAAAAAAACGGGTTTTTCATTGCTTTTGCTATGAAACTACAAATGCATTTTAGCCCAATTACTTCAAGAATATACTACAAATAATATCATTTCAAACTTACCCGCTGTATGCAAATTTAAGTCTACGATACATTGTTGTAGTTGTTCTATAGACCCTTCGTTGAAAATTTAGAAAAGGCCATTGAACGTTATAACGTAATATTTATTATTATAAGTATAATATTTGTTTATTTATTTATTTGATATTATTACCTAATATTGCAACTTAATGTTATAATTAATGCTTCGAAACAATGATGTAATACTTATTTTTTGCAAACGTTGGGAAATCAGTCAAATTTTCAACAATTAACGATACTTCAATTTACTATGAGAAGCACTTTCGAAATTATACTTTTCTTTTTAATTCTTTCTATTTGCAGAAAAATTAATAACTTTCATACTTTTCTGAAAAACACATAATTTTGAGGATTTTTTTTTTCACCATGTTGATTAAAATTACTTTATCCCTTTGACGCAGATGGGACATCCCTTTTATATATTTTTTTTCTGACTCTCGAATTACAAGAAAAAATATATTCAGCATTTTTTACTAATAAAAACATTCTAATAGTTATTAAAAAATATGTTAGATTAACGGAATTATATTTGTACTAAAATAAAAAATCCAAAAAGTAGATGGAAAAACTATTTGAGTCAAACATGTATCAATAATTAATTTTATAAAATAAAAAAATTTGAATGATAAACAACTGTTTCTCTTAAATCAAAATAACTGCAATTAAGAGCAAATTAAAAAAATTATTGGTTTGAAGGGAGTCGTATCTTCATCGGAAAAAGTCACCGGTTTTTCATATTGTTTTTATAACCATTAACTGTCAAAGTTCTAAATATAATGTTTTTCATTTATATTGACCTAAACTATTGCAAAATAATGAAAAAAATCAAAAAATATATTAAATAAAAATTCTGCAACACAGGGTTATAGAACTATATTAATACTATAACTTCAGCAAGCTTAACTATAACAATCTTAAACAATATATAGTGTAAAGGCTTTGGTGCAAAACCAAAAAATAATAACACCTTGATATATTTTTTTTATTATATTTGTCGTTGTTAAATCGATGATGGATTATATGATGTCCAAGAATACTTTAAAGATGCAATGGTTCAAGAAGAAAGACAGATGGTTCCTGAAAAGAGAAAAAAATGGGGAATATCATATCTTTCAAAATGGCGGATGTCACAAAATATGATACTAACACATTACTATTTTTATATTTTTACTCCTCGAAGAAAAGATGGAAATTAGAATTGACGACTGAATTTATGTTAGGTTATTGACGGGTCAAATTCAATAGAACTGTTTCATGCATTTGCTGCCGTTCATAAATGATAAATGATCCATCTTGGATTCGAAAAAAAGAAACGAGGTTGGAAAAAGCATAAATAAGAAAGTGAACTATATACCTTAGCGATAATTTAAGCATTGTTTTTGTTATGCAATTACAACTTGACTTTGCAAAAGACGAAAAACAGCTAACTAATAATAGTTTGAGCTGAATACTTTCTTATTTACTTTTTTTAAGCTATTATTTTGGCGATAAAATAAACAAATCAAGTCATATAACTTAACAATAATTTAAATATATACAGTCCATAATTTTTAATATTTGAGTAACTACTTAACGATGTAGAAAACGTGTAATCTAAACCAATTTATCTTAACGTTCTAACACGAATGAATTCCACATTAATTTCAAAAAACAACTTGGCACGAAATATAATATTAACATATTAGTAGTATTTTTTGAACGGAGAAAAAAATTCTGGTGAAACAATCGTATGTTTGACATTCCTGGTAAAGCAAAAAAAAAAAGAAAAAGAAATGTAATTCTGGTCCATAAAACTGAAATTATGCGCTATTTAAACAATTCATTTGGTAAATTTTCCGTTCATATGGTGATGGCTTAACGGAAATTATAGTTTTCAAAATTATTATTCTTATCACCACATATTTAGCAAAAAAACACTGAAAAATAAATTGAATCAATTAAATGTTTTACTAATACTTTAAATATTTTTTTATACCATGCTCTAACGTATCATGATAAAATTACCAAATTTTACGACATTTATCACATATTATGAAATAATTTTTATTTGAAAAATTCCTCACTTCTTTAAAAATTACCAAATTTTTTTGGTAATATTACTAGACATAAGTAATTTTTTTGGTAATATTATTAATAGTTTTGATCATACTTTTTTCCCCTCGGAGTGCATAGATTGTATTGCATTATCTAACTATTCAAGTAAACATGAAAAATAAATATATGCAGCTAATGTTTTCTTTCTTTTTTTATTTATTTAAAATGGAAAAAAAAAAGATTTGGTCAAAAAGCGATGAGCTTTTTATGGTCTATTTTAAAAATAAATGCATGATATTTCGGAGATCAGTGCTTAAAAAAAGAATTCAAACAATATTTGTTATTTCTGCATCATTCTAAATAACCTGAAAATTTCTTTTAACTGAAAAGATAATATTTCGCTTGTGTTTTAACATATATTCTTTAGAAACCTATTTTTATTTTCACTTTAAACCTTTATTCATTTATTTATTTTTAATTTAAGCATTTTCATACGCTTTTAAAATGACAAAAATGAGATTTGATATACTTTAATCAAGTTTTCTTACAACAAGAATCTAAAAAATTTTATGTTTTAAGTATATTTAAGAAAGAGTAGTTGCTTAATTTGAAATTTTTGATGTGTAAAATGTCTTATTATTATTAAATTTTTTAGAAACTTGCTTTCTATGGTCTATTTTAAATATAAATGCTTGATATTTCTGATATCAATGTTTCGGCAACAGGAATCCAAACACTGTTTGTTATTTTTGGATCCTTCAAAAGATTGATTGAAAAGAAAATATTTCGCCTATGTTTAACATATATTCCTTAAAGACCAATATGTATTTTTAGTTCGAAATGTCTCTCTATTGAGAAATTTGTTTCTTATAGTCTGTGGTATTGTTGTTGGCTCCTGCCATTATGGCAGAGGGGGTGCGATTGTTCTTGTTTTCCAGTGGCTTCATCTATGGCCAAGAATTCGACTTCTGTCACACTCATGCGTCAGACTCGTTTATAGGGCGGACCCATTCTTTCATCCACAAATCATACTTTTGATCTCAACCAGAGAATGATCAATCTCCAATTCAGTACCCCCCAGAGGTAGTGATTTGCTATGGGAACATGGTGGACTTTGTGACCTGACAGATTTAACGTGCACTTCTAACCATTTACTACACGGAGAGTCTTCGGCCGACTGGATTCAAACTCCTGTTCTCAGAAACGTGATAATTTAAACGTGAGCCTCCTACCAACCAGGCTATCCCGGCGTTTGTGATAATTGGTTTAACTTAATACATTAATTTTCTGATAATAAGAATCCAAACAATTGCTATTACTTTTAGATCATCCGAAAATTTAATTTTGGTTTCTTTTAAACAAAAATGAAATAAACATTTTTCTTACTTTTTATAAGAAAATAGTTTTTCTTAAGAACGAGTCGTATGTTTATTCCAATATAAATATGGATTCTATTAACCTATTTACCAATTTGCCAGAATATTGATTGGAGTTTAATTCGACCCCAAATAAAATGCTGGAGAATTGACAAATATCTAAAGAAAGGCATGACTATTGGATTCCTATAAATTACAAGGCAGGAACTGGAATTTTTCATCAATTCCTTTTACCTTTTGGTAAATGAATTCCAAATTCCTTTTCAGGGAATTGACTTCCCAAATAACTAACTCTAGTATTGAGGTCGCCAGATATTCAGACAGCTTCTGTTCTAATTAGCGGCCATTTAAAACAGCCGTTAAATCAATGGAACAATTATCTCTGCTCAAGTTATTTCTCATGCACAAATCAAATACGAATTCCTTCGTGGGATTTGTGCGGGAAATCTGATCGTAAAATTTCACTTTAACTGGATTCTGGAGTAATCGTTTTCAACTAGATGATAGGATAGTTGCAGAAGATGGACCTGAAATGTGAGGCTATTTAACAGTGGAGATATAACACTTAACTGTGAAACATTATTACGATGACTGTTTCTAACAGAGAAAGCAAATAAATAGGCAACACCTTCGTACACATTATCACTTTTTTTTTCTTCCTAAGATTCTGAGATAATGATATTTTATGGATAGAAACATTGAAAAAGTATCGATATCTTCATTCGATACTACTTTTCAATAGAATAGATATTTCTGTTTGATAGTATCAGTTGGTAGTTGGCCTTCCAATAGTATCGAAAAAAGTAGGTTTTTATTTTTTGTATACCAGTATACTTTATTTTATAATGAAAGTAAATTCTTCTGTACTTTATTTATTATATGCTGTTGCAATCTTATTATTATTACGACCTATTACTATAAGCATACTTAGTTTATATCATAGCAAACGAATTCTGCAGTAAAAGCAAAAGATAAAAGGATGTACTAAACAAAATTTGCCTATCATTTGGACGAATTTTATTTATTGAAATTTTGAATTTTAATAATACCTATAAATAGAACGTTTGTATTGAATAATATAAATATTTCCTCCGTTAATTTCTCAGCATAATTCATCCTATTTTCTTGCTGAAATTACGATTTCAGAATGGCTAGTCATATTAGCGTATAAAAATATTGTACTGTTTTCTTATTTTTAAATAATTCGATTGCATTTTTTGTATTTCCATGTAATATATATATATATATATATATATATATTACCTNACATATACAGATAATGTTAATGTTTGTCACCTTAAACATAAATATGCTTTAATTTTGATACTTAAGTTTAATTTTCGATTTCATTTTTAAACTAAAATACAGATTTAGCACCTAAAAAGTAAAATTTATAACATGTGCTAAAAATACTATATAAATAACAATACTAAAAAAAATTTTTGATAGAAATAATTTCGAACATTTATATTAAAATTTAAAGTGTGTCAAAATCACAGTTAAACTTTTCTGGAAAAATTACGTTTATTTTTTTTTATAGAATAACTATTTTTAGAAGAGTGATATAAATAAGTAATTTATATGCTTAAATTTATTTTATATTTAATTTTATCTATAATTCAAAGTTATTTATATCCAAGGATATAAATAAATAATTTGTATCCTTAGCGAACAAATTTTTTGTTGCAGTTATACAAATACTTGATCTGGCCTAATTCGGGTATGGGGATTTCAAATCTGAAATTTGTTCTGCTTCTAAAGCTACAATTTTTTTAAAGGACATTTTCAGTCCCATTTTCGTAAAAATGTAAAAGTTTAAAAACGTTATAAATAAGAGGAAGTTGCTTAATCAATCACGATTGAAATTGCATGAAAACCCATGCCCGGAAATGGCGTCATAGGCGGATTAGGACACTTTCCTATTATAACCTTATTAAAACCACACAAAGAAACAGCGCAAACAAGAAAGCACCCCTAGTGGCTTACGACGAAATTTCCGAAACTAGATTCTGACGCAATTTTATTTCTGATGATGTGCCCAGAAGTTTGTCGCAGCACTTATGCGACCCGCTGTTATATGTAGCATTCTTAAACTCGCACTTTTCGATAAAATACCAAAAATATCTTTAAAAAATGTAGAAATCATTTCTGGATTTGAAATCAATGACATGAAAATATCCAAGATCCATTAATAATCTTCTGTAACGAAAATTTTCTGACCTCAATTTAATCTAAAATGAATTTTAATTCTGAAAAATTAAATTTTTTATTGAAATAAATAAATTTCTACCTTCACACATTTGCTTAATGCACGTGAAAAAAAGAGAAAAAATTGCATGAATATTAGAAATAAAATATTGAGGATGTAAACAATATTATTAAGGTCATGTTATTTAAAACAAATATAATCGTTTTCATTGATGCTTTCCATTAAAGGTATATTCTAGACTCAATTTATCTTAATTACAGATACTACACTTTCTTTCATAATGCTTTGATTGGTCTTTCTAAATGAGATCTAGAAGAGAATTTTGTTAAGAAGATTTTATGCAAGTATCATATAAACCTAAAATTATTTGTTGTATATATTTGAGAACTTTTTTCGTCGTTACGAAATAAAAACAAACTCATTTATTTTTTAATTTTTTTTTCAAATATAATTATTCT